AAGACTGAAATCCCTGGGATGTCTCTGAGACTTTTCTTTCTTAGGGGCAGTAGCATTCTGCACTCAAAGGCGTTTGATAAGAGGGTGGTACTCAGTAAAAAGAAAACCAGTGATCTTTGAATAAATGACCTAATCAACATATGACAGCAGTCATGAATGCTGGCAATCATGTTTACACCATTTCATATATCCTTTCAGACATGTCCATTCAATATGAAGGATATTTTGGTATGTATCTTCATTATTCTAATTAAATATTCTTGCAAAAAAATGCTAAATTGGTTTCTCATTTATTTCAAATTCTGTATTTTCTCTCTCTTACACAGTCACTAAGCAATGAAAGAAATGTCTTTGAACAGAGTATTTTACTGAAGTTCTACAAGTTTTCTGACAATATCTCTCATCACCAAAAAACATAAGTCAAAATTTAAGTAGGTAAAACAAAATTGAACCATTTGAATCCAAACTGGAATAAAGAGAGTCATAAATTATTGGAATAATCTTTATCACTCAGTAAAGCAAGAAATACATGTAAAAATAAAAAATCTAAAATAAGAAAGCCAAAATCATCATACATATAAAAGTATTTTTACAACCTTTATATTTGGGAGAAAATAGAATAAACTATCCACCTGCTTACCACTGCGCTTTCATGGTAGAAAAGAAGTTGCCTTGAGCACTGAAACACCTTTTTTCTCCTCTCTACTCTGATTGCATTTATGCTCTATTCCAGAAAGAACTGTTTAAATTTGGTGGTTATTAAATCATCAAAATCCATATAATCCAATTTAGATATAAAAAAGGGAAATTATTAGCATGACCATGACTTTCAGCACTGAAGCCTGGATGCTTGATATCTTCTTACTTTAAACATCTACAAGGCAAAAATATGATGTTCCTGACAGTATGGTGCTGCAGGAAGGAGGTCTAGAGAAGGCATGAGCCATTCACAAGCCTTTTTCAGGCAGAGATAAGTGCCCTAAAATGTAAATGCTGGACAGTTCATTGTATGATCAGTTAAGATCTGCAATTTACAGAGCAATTTCTACACCTGGGGTATCCTCAGAAGGCTGAGTATAAATTTTAGGGCCCATCACTCAATATTAAGGTCCTCTGAGACATTAAAAAATAAACACTCTTGATATTTATGCCAATAAATGAAAAAAAAATACTTGAGAAACTAATAATAACATAATAAGAATATTTTTAATCAATTAAATTATGAAAAATAAAGTACTCATCACTGATCAGTCACAACAAATGAACATGAATAAAATGAAATTTCTTCAAAATTCAGACCCGGAACTTCATAATTTTGCTACTAAAATTTCACCACATAAAATTAAAAAAATAATTCAAACTTGAAACCCACAATTGCATACTAAATATAGACCACTGAGCAATTCTTAAAACCAATGCAAAGAAGAAATATTCAGAATGTTCTATATAAAAATGCTATTTTAAAATTTTGAAGGAATGATTCAGGTATGTAACCTCACATCCCAGTTCTGAAACTGTTGCAGAATTCCTCCTTTTGCAGCTTTTTAGCACGTACCTGTGACACGTGAACAACCCCCCTCAAACCCCAATTTGAATCCTTGCTTGCTTATTTGCTGTATGTTAACCTAGATTGGTATCCTGCATAACATGGTGGTTTTGCTGGTTTGTTTTAATTTTTTTTTCCTCGTATGGAATGGAATGTAGATCAGGGCTGCAAGGCAGATCAATCGCAAGATAAGGAAATAAAAGAACAAAGTTTAGATAGATGACTGAAAATTCTATTCCAGCATTCACCCACGGTAAGATGCAACCACAAAATACAGCACCTGAGCCACCTTCACTGATACAGATGGCATTTCAGTTTGGGTAATAGTGTGCTATTTTCAGAACTCATGTTCCAGAGAGAAACAAGCCCAGGAAGCAAGAGACAAGTTGTCTAGCTACCATGTGAAAGCAGATTAGAAAACTGTGGCTTTAGTGTGCTGAACACGGTCTGATAGGGAAAATGACTGCAGCCTGTAAGAACAGAAGGGGATAAACATCGAGGAGCAGATAAAACTGAACTACAGCTCAGTCCTGGCACCAAAATAAACAAGCTAAATGCAAATGCAGGTGGTGAAGAAGCAACAGTCACCAAGCATCAAGGAGTAAAGAGATAGAAGAACTTCTCTGTCACAATAATGAGAGGGAAAAAATATCCTTAATAAATTTGAAGACAGAGTTCGATACATTTCAAAGGGATTACATGATGTGCAATCCACGAAATGTCCTTTTTAATCTTGTGTCTCCTAATCATAAAATATGTCAATTAAACTTTCTTAAAAACTGAAACATGGTATTTCTTCTCAGCACCATAAGTTCTGATCTCAGAAAGTCTAGTGAAAAATTCCCAATAAGAATATTTAAGAGTTCATGACCTGAAGTGAAACTATTATTAGATTTCATTCACATTATTTATAATACATAATGTTGTTTAATACCATGCCATTATGCAGCAAAAAGGAACACACCTCCCCTCCCCAAATGCACTTGAAAAATGTAATTACATTTTAACCTCTATTAACATAATCATCTAATCATACTGTTGACTATTGCATTTTATATAAGCATTTGACTCTATGTATTTATTGAATATTAATGAACACATTAATCTTTACTTTTCCAAAGTAGTCCTACTCAGAAATAGTATTACAAATCTGAGGGTTTTGTATATTTTCCTTTTTCTAAAACAGTTCCTTCTCCAGTGCCAGACTATTCACTTGCTTGTAAAGCATTTTCAAACAAATCCTGTTAATTCTGAATATGGTTCACTAAGCAGCATGATCTCATTAATAAAACAAGTTGCTACTCTAGTAAATCAGAACACTCAGCTGTTTTAACTGTTTCCCTAATGGAAATTCGAATGATCTCTTCAGTCAGCCTCACAGAAGCCTAACACTTTTGAAACAAGACCCAGAAAAATAAAGAAGCAATGAAAAGAATGGAAACAGTGCAACTTGAGACTTAGCATTCTGTCACAAATAAATGTTAACTAACATTGTATCTGCATTCTTGAGGTTAGTTGGATTATTTTTGCACCACTTGAATTTTCATTAGAAATGTACTTTTGTCTGTTTCACTGAACTAAATGAAATTTTTGAGTGACAAATTCATGAGTTCTTGGGATTTCTAACAAAAGAGAGAAGGGAAGAAAGAAAAAGCTTGATGGATGGCAAAAAGAAGAGAACACTCTACAAACATATATTCAAAATGATCTCATATGTTGCAAAAGAAAATAATAAATGGATAACAAATGACAAAGAGGCTAGTTCAAAGGGAAATGTAAAACAGAAGCAATCTTTTGCACTGAATATAAGTTTCTGCATAGCAACACATTATCTCAGGGTCTTTCAGTGTGATGTTCAGTTTAGGATAAACCTCTTTTTTAATGATGATAAGAAAATAATGCTTCTAATCTGGTGAGACTTTGAAATGTGCTACATACCCAGTGCATTTGTAACATTCATAATGCATCTTACCTTTGTCTGGGCACTCTAAATAATCAACCTTCTCCAAGGGAAAATGCTGATTTAGCAAGGAGTTAGAAAAACAATGAAAAAAAATTCTAAGATTTTTTTTTGTAAACCTCATTTGAAGGTGCTCAAGGATCCAAGAATAGTGCCAAGGAAGGTGATGGTGCACAGGCAAAGCAAAGAACGGGTAAGACTTTGTAACACCTTTGTGTCTAACTAGATACACATCTTACCTTAGTAATATATATGTTATTAAAATTGTGGGACAGAGAAAGGGAGTTGAAGTTTCAGAGAACATACACATAAGCTCTACTACCTTTTACATATGCAGCAAAAAGCACCTTTATTTTCTTGATGACATTCTATTTTGTTAATCAGATCTTAGAGACCTTTCTTCAGTATTCAAAGCAGTGAAAGTAATGTACAGAAAAAAAAATTAACTGCTATTTAACTTCTTCAGCTTATTGTGTTACTTAATAGGTGTATATTTTTTATATATTTGCACCACACAATTTTGTTTCCCTTTCAGTCCAGCAGTTTTACAGTCAAGAAATAACAGTGTAAATCTTTAAAAAGTTGACTTGAAATAAGAAAATTCAAATGGCATGATTTATTTTTTTAACTGTAGGCCAAGAAGTAGGTTAGTGTTGCATTCAAAAACACCTCTGGCTTTAATATTAGACAGACATAACTTCTTTCAACCTGAAATCAAGTAATTCAATCCAGCAATTCAAATTTACAAGTGCCAATTACCTTAACAGCACATTTTTCTTATGCACTAATAGTAATTTATAACATGAATCCAGAGTCTGGTCAAGTTATTCAGGTGCAACTATCTACTTCCAAAACATCAGTTTGGAATTAATTCTTCATACCCATTACCATCTGAATTACAAAAGAGGGAAATGAAATAAACTACCAAGAAACCAGAGTTATTATTTTCCTTATGATGCTCAAAGAGCTTGCAAGATGAAAAGCATACAAATTGGAACTGGACACATAGCAACTAAGTGGCTATTCTGTCACACTGCATTTCACAAATAAAAGCATCCTCCAGGTCCTTTGATTAAAACATGAAACAAAATGAGCAACATTTGCGAGACGTCGTTCACGGAATATCTCTTGTACAGCTCAATGGCTAATCACATTTCTTCCACGAGAATTTAAAATTAAGCCTGATACTCCTGCTGGTCATAAATAACACATGGAAATTTACAAGCACTTTAAGTAAAGACCAAAGAAATTTATAGCTATGAAAGTACCACAATATACCATGTCATCCCATATCTTATTTCATTTAAAAATACATCTTACAACAAGCTAGTGAAAATTTTTAGTTAACCAGAAAAACAGACACATCTGAACAAAATTGTCACTGTTCACTCAGCACTAGAAATCCTCCTTAAATGAACTGCCAAATAGATTACCCAGACCTTAAAATTTCTTAAACCCTACAGAAAAACAGAATGTAGGCTAATCAAATCATACCTGGATAAATTGCTTGGTTTTCACAAGCCCCACGTCTCCAGCCTCTATCTGTGCTCTTGACAGCTTCTCTTCAGTTTCACTTAGCCAATGATTAAATCTCTTCATGTCAGAATGAAAAATCTGCCACTTTTCCAAAGATTTATCAAACCGCCTGCAAGTATAAAAGGAGATGAAATAACAATCTTCCGATAGTTTATTTATTGACTACAGAGAAAAAATAAAGAGAATAATGTTGGATGTTTCAGGTTAAAATCAAATAATATTACTGGCATAATATATTAGCATTTATAACAGTTATATCAAATGGCAATATGGCAGCACCTCTGAAGTGAAATTATTTCTGAGCAAATGCATCACAAATCAGTTGTTTTATCAGTTTTAAAATCCTTTTGACAAAAATGCAATGGTCTTCAAGTGAATTTCCACTTGCATTGTGCAAAGGGACTCTTTAAAAAAACCTTTATCCTATGTTCCACTTTGAGTATTTTATAATGACAATTATTAAAAAAAAAAAAAGCCCTGAATTAAAAGGATGATTAAAAAAAATAGAACAGTAAAAAAATAGAGTTTTGAACAATAAGCAAGGATGAAAAATATTACAACCATGTCTGCAAGTCTATAGTTCATTACAAAAAGACCAGATGAGTACTTCCAGCACTTTGGGAAGATGTGACCTGTTTTTGTCTAGAGTGACTGATTGATCTCCTGCTTCAAGAACTGTTTGAATTGGCCACTGCCAAATAGGAAAGAAATGAAATGGAGACAGATTACAAAACTGATTATAGGGGGGTTTGCAGATAGCCTATATCTTAAGAAATCCAGTTATCCTTTGTGTTAGATTGTTGTGGAAATGTAATAACTAATCAGAGATTAGCTAGAATGTTTTGTTAGAAGATCATCATTAAATGTGCTACTGTTGTTTAGTTTAATAATCCTCCTTTACAGGATTATAATAGATTTTAGGGTGTACTTAAAGGATAAAAACAAAGATGCTCAGTTATTTCTCTGTAAGATAATCTGGTTCTGTATGGGCAAACTATACGATTATTTGAATGTTAAGGAGTTTAATTCACCAAACAAAATGACATTACTGTTAGGGAACACAGAAAATCTTTTCCATTTTACTGATGATTTTTCATTTTTTAGAAGAAAATACAAGCAGACTATTGACCTGATTAAATATTGTAGTCGCTCATCTAACTTGCTTACTAAAATGACTGTGATAATTTATCACGGTTATCATATTTTATTGCTCAAAATTATCAAACCATAATTTAAACATACATTATAACAGTGCTTTTATATAACTACCTTACTCAGAGTTTCAAGGAAAAATTAATTTTATTTTGTAAATATCACATAGAAAGTAGAATCAAAATTCAATTTCTTTTGGTCCAGAATCATCTCTCATTTTGGACACTATATTAAAACATCTTTCCTCCTGTTCCTCACAAAGTAAAATTACTCTTCTCAGCATGGGCAGCTTATCAAAAGCTTAAATGTAAAAAAAATCAGTAGGGTTTGATATTAGTAGTCTTGAATTTGCATTCCAGAACTTGCAAACTCAATCTCCCATCACTCGATGTTCTTCCTCCATCTTTTGCTCTGGGAAATAACAGTTGTAAGGAGAAGAAAAATAAAAAGTTACAACAAGAAGATATGAATATTTAAAGCTTAAAAATTCCCAGTGCTTATTGCTCATGTCTTAAAAAAACCTTGCTACTCTCGTTATAAGTGTAAACCAATAAAAATACTCAGTATAAGTATAAACCAATACAATATTAATGTTTTGCAAAACATTAGTAAAAAACAGAGAGAATTTATCAACAGGCTAAGTGACTAAAATTCAAGGCTCTTACAGTGATTAAATACCTAAATAATGTTACAATGATAAGAGAAAAATTAATTTTTGCTGCAGTGGCAGGTGTGGGTGCATTTGAACAACATCAAGCAGATCCCTGCTCTGGGAAGTTATGGGACACCTCTCCTGAGTATACCTAAGTGAGAGTTTCTCTTGTTGAATCTCTGTATTACATCTGCTTACACATGATACTACTTCAAATAGCTTTTTAAACTTTAAAAACAAAGAGGATTCTGTTTGTTTGTTTGTTTGTTTGTTTTATCATGAGCAATGCTGTTACCAGGTGGTGAGCTCAAAACCCACAAAAGGAGAAGCCTAATTAACGACCAACGCTGAACAGCTAAATTGCTGAAGCCTTGGCACAGCAGAATGGAGAATAAATTCATAAGAGAGCAGTACTCCCAGGACTGTGGAAACCCAGAAAGAGTATGTCAGCCTCAGGAATCCTCAAGCACACAATGTGGAGCAGAGGAAAATTAAAGACTTTGCACACCCTTACCTAGGGATCCACCCTTGTTTGCCATCAGAGACAAGTCATTGAGCTAAAATACCCCCACGTAGACATTTCTCTGTGTCTTCCTCTGCTCAAATCCTTTCCCTCTGACCAACATAAGACAAAATAGTGGCTCATGAATGGCCACTAGCAGTGGCTAGTGGGTGACTGTCTGAAATCTGGGCACTATTTCGTTTCTGATGTGTTTCTCTCTGGTTTTCTTAGCACATGTTCAATAACATAGTGCAAAGAGACATCCTGAAGCCAAGCAGGAGGTTCTGGATGTGAATGTACAACTGGCACAAATTACAAGGCACCTGAGCATTGTACATGAGCTCTGACACAATAAGGCAGCTTTATTCCTCTATCTTGAGCATGTTTGGGTTGATAAGCAAAAAACAAATGCCACACTGGTTCAATTTTTTCATATATGTACTGACACTCCAGCAGGGACCACGTTAAGCAGTGACTTGTGGGAGCAATTTCATTTTATCACATTAGTACATAATGGATTTATTTTGTCTCCAGAGAGCAAGCAAGAAAAAAAAAAGCAATCAAAGACAACTGCTGGGGTAGTACACAATACAATTTACACTAAGTCATAAAAGTATTGGTTGTTTCCTTCCTTCCTCTCCGACCTGTCTTTCTATAAGTAAAATTTAATATTCTTTGGTAGCATTGCACATAATCTTGCACAGAGATTTACAAATGCCAATTTGGATATACACTGTCAGTGGATCTCTAAACTGTGTAATGGGATTGCACTTGATGGTCTGTGTCACAAAGCTGGTGTTTTAAGGAAGCTGTGCAAAGGTGAAAGATCTTTGAAAACAGGGAAGACACAAACATAAAAGGCAGTACAAAGGCTAATGATTTGTTGTTGTAAACCAAATCTTAATTTTGCATCTGTGTTTTGATTAATTCCTGGGTATTTTGATAACATTCCTTTATACTATGAAACCCACTTTTGTGGTTTCACAAAGATTCTGGTTTAGCAAAACTTCACAATCAATTAAACCACAAGAAAAAGAATGCTATTTATACAATTTCCTAAAAGACATGATTTATGTCATGGAAATTGGTATTACAAGAAACATGCATTTTATTCTTCATATTGGCAAAAACAATCCCTAAACTTGATTTCTATGCTGTTGCTAAACAATATACTGCAGGATTATGCTAATATTAACCCACAAATTTTCAAATTTTGCAGTTTTGTCAGCTTAATTCTGCACAATTAGCACCTTGTAAAAATACACAAACATCAAAGTAGAGTAAATAATTATGTATTAAATAGTAAGAACATTAACTTTTCTATTTAAGGCCATTCTTACAGAAAACAAAATAAGAAAACTTGTTCTTGTCAAGCAACTCCTACAATTAAATTGCTTAAAGAAAGAGCTAACCCATTTTCACAGGTTTTGATGTTTTCATTTGACTTCACACAATTCATGTGAGTTCTTAATCTATATTTAATTCCTATATCCTCTCTACATTTGGACTCAAAGTGATTATCTCATTTTAGACACTGCTGTATCTTGATCTTGATCTCAGGTTTTGCAGTGGGTCCATTCTGGGACAACACTTAACTCTACATATTCCATTCATACCTTTACAGCCTGTTTTTCACCCATAAACTACCAAACAAATAATAAACTGCAACCAAAACAACCATAGGAATGCCATCCATCAATTCAAAACTTAATTTCTCTCCTCTTCCCAGAAACTAGACTCTGCAGCATGACATAAATTAAAAAAATTGTGCATTACAATTACATTATAAATATTTCACTATTTTGAATTGTATTGATTGTATTATTCTTTTTGCCCTAGTTAGTGATATCATGCCATTCAGTGTCCATGTCTGTCAAAGAAAATTACAAATAAATAGGCTAAAAAATGCAAGGTCATGTCAGTCATTGTTGGTTTCAGGCATATACAAATCCATATTTTATTATACATGAGAGAGCAATAAATTTAATAACCATTTGCAAATAATAATTATACAGCAAATGCATTAGATTCTAATGGATGTTGTGCATCAATTGCTTAAATAGAAACACTCCATAAAATTTATATAACATACATTCTTTTTCTACACTAACTAAAACTATCTATTAGGCATATGAACTAGAAAATTCCAATTCTTTATTTCCTACAAAGTTTTCCTTCATCATAACAGAGATGCAATCATGTATTTTACAGAACTTTGCCTCAACACCTGGATTAAGTGTAGGTAACAACTTACGCCTAGGGAAAATAAAGAAATGCTTGAATAATGTGACCTGGGTGAAAGAGTAGCAGATTTTGCAACTCTCTTAAGCTTTAAAAATATCTATGCAATTGGTAATAAAACCAAAAATTTCATAACTTTTTGAAATGTAACCACCAAAATCATGATAACAAAACCCCAAATCAAAAATTTTACAGGAAACAAAGAGTGACTCAAGTTTATGGAAATGCAAACCAGTATTTATGCCTGCATGTGAAAGGTATTATACACATTTCATCCTCGAAAGGGGACACCACACTTCCAGCCAGGATACTGCAGCATGTCAGTATCACCCACCCTATGGTTTCATCTTTTAATTGCATGAAATTAAATATGAGTGACAAATCACATGAACCTCTGACTGTCAGGGTGATGTTCTCCTCCTTTCCCCAGCCCAGGGCCTCTGATCTGCTTAAGGCCAGTTCTGATGTGGCACAGCAGCACAAGCTGTCATCAGCCTTTAGGGAGAAATGACTGTGAGAATCCTCACCTGAGGCTTCCGCCCAGGACTTCAGGGCCAGTGTT